AATGGTTTCCAGACATAACTAAAGTTAGAAATGAGATATTGTTATCAAACTTGGTGTATAGCAAGCTTATATGAAGACCTGGGTTGGTATTGCATTTGGACCCCCTGGGGTCAAGGTCACCGTTACTAAAAATAGAAAAATAGTTTCCGGACAATAACTTGAGTTAGGAATGAGGTATTGTAATCAAACTTGGTGTATAGCAAGCTAATATGAAGACCTGGGTTGGTATTGTTTTTGGACCCCCTGGGGTCAAGGTCAAGGTCACCGTTACTAAAAATAGAAAAATGGTTTCCGGACAATAACTAGAGTTAGGAATGAGATATTGTTATCAAACTTGGTGTATAGCAAGCTTATATGAAGACCTGGGTTGGTATTGCATTTGGACCCCCTGGGGTCAAGGTCAAGGTCACCATTACAAAAAATAGAAAAATGGTTTTGGGGCAATAACTAGAGTAAGGAATAAGATATTATAATCAAACTTTGTGAAAAGCAAGCTTATTTGGAGACCCCAGTTGGGATTACAATTAATTGAAATATTTCTTTGTACACAGTTGATAGTTTGTGTTGAAATTTTTCTTCAGACTACTTATTTTTCAAAAAGTTGCTGGTGGGGGTATTTATCACCTTCAGTGATAGGTCTAGTTTCATTTAGCAAAGTAGAAGTACACTGCATTGAATTTTCATTTTATTATGTCACAGTTTAGAACTGGGGGAGATGTGTAAGTGGCCAGATAGCTCAGTCGGTAAAGCTGTGGAACCATATTCAGATGGTCCCATGTTCTAGTCTTGTCAGGCTGCACATTCTTCTTACCCTGTGATATTTAGTGCCCAACTTTGGGCTAGTGTGGCCTCTTTCTTTTCACCCTTTGACAATTGTTTTTTTTCCAAGATATCAAACAACTATAAAATACTACATCTTCCAAAATCCCAAATGAGCATCACAAAATATTCAAAATAAACCGATTTTTGAGATTTTGTTCAAATCTTTCCAAATCTTCTCATTTGAATCGTTCACAGATGTGAGAGGGGTTGGAGGGGTGAGGTGGAGAAAATCTTTAGAATATTGTCTACAGACTCGAACTGAGTTATTATGCTCTTTCATCATAAATTATGATTACCTACCTGTTGCAAAGTTTTCAGCTCCATTTTCTGACTTTCCATCTTGGAGTAGAACTCATCAACAGCCTGTTATATAAAAGAAATTCAAAAAGACAATCATGCAGCTATTCAAGAGATTAATGTTTTTCTTTCCTTGTTGGATAATAAGTCACTTGAACACCGTAAAGGTCATCCTTCAACTTTCAGCTTTCCTGATGGAGGATGACCTATTTAAGACATAAGTGAGAACTTCAAAAGAACCGTTACAATCATCCGGTCAGCTTTGGTTTCTTCCTCACATGATATATGGTAAAGTCCCTGTCAAGATTCAAACTCACAGTTGTGAGTGGCAAGTGGTTTTAAGTCAGCAACAATAACCTCCTGACGAAGGAGGCATCAGGAAATTACTAAAATCCTTGCAAAATAACACTACTGTAAACATAACATTGTTTTTTTGACAGGAGTATTTTGTGATGTACATGTTATCAGATATATATATCAAAATATGCCATGGCTAATATAATGAAGAAATGTCTTTTCAATTTTGACATTACCTTATTGAAAGACTCAAATTCTTCAACATGTCTTTTTTCATATTGCTTGAAAAGGATAGGGTTAAATTCATCAAAGGTAAGTAACTCTGTGGGCTCCCCTTCCTTAGCATTGGGTCTCTTCTCTGACTTCTTAACAATAAACCCCTGTAAAAGATATTTCTATTTTAAGACTACTATTTTAATGTATTAGAAATAAAGATTGAGTATTTCAAACAATCAAACTGTTTCAATTTATTTATCTAAACTAAATAAATAGGAATACAGAACAGAACAAGAACGTGTTTGTTAAACACAAATGCCCCCGGCTCCGATTCTTGTCAGTAGCAATATTTCAAAAAATGTTTCCCCATTCACTCAGTTATGGACAGAAACATTGCCAAAAAATTGTAAACACAAGTCATATAGCTTGACAAAGTCATTGCATTTTGTAATTGTGAAATATATGAGTTGCCAAGTAATTGCTATGACTTGTGAAGTGATAAATATTCAACTTTATCAAATATATATAAATGTAAGAAATCTATACTTGGCACCCTTGACCTTGACCCACTGACACCTATAGAATATCATGCAAGTTATCTTCCTACCAAATATGAAATACACCTGTCAATAAATAAAGGCTGTATGGGCAAAAATGTTAAAATCTATTATGAGCATTGATGACCTTGATCAAACTGACCCCTAACTCCATCCAAAGGAAGAATACCATGCAAGTTATCTTCCAACCAAATATGAAATAAATCTATCAATAAATAATGGCTGTATGGGCAAAAGAGTAAAAATCTATTTTTAACACTTGTGACCTTGACCCAACTGACCCTTACTCCATCTAAAGTAAGAATAACATGCAAGTTATCTTCCTACCAAATATGAAATATATCTGTCAATAAATAAAGGCTGTATGGGCAAAAGTGTAAAAATCTATTTTTAGCACTAGTGACATTGACACACTGATCCCTAACTCAATCAAAAGGAAGAATACCATGCAACTTATCTTCCTATCAAATATGAAATACACCTGTCAATAAATAAAGCCTGTATAGGCAAAAGTGTAAAAAATCTATTTTTAGCACAAGTGACCTTGACCCACTGATCCCTTCCCCAATCAAAAGGATGAATACCATGCAAGTTATCTTCCTACCAAATATGAAATATATCTGGCAATAAATAAAGGCTGTATGAGCAAAAGTGTAAAAATCTATTTTTAGCACTGGTGACCTTGACCCAACTGACCACTAACTCCATCAAATTTTATGTTCCTATCAATTATAAATGACATCTGTCTATAGAATATGGTTAATACACCTGTAAAAATCTATTTTTAACATTGGTGACCTTGACATTGGTGACATTGACCTTGACCCCTTACTATACCCAAAGAAGGAGGACCTCCCTTGGCATGTTTGTATTAAACATGAAAGACATCAACCAATAAAGGCTGTATGAGCAAAAATGTTTAAATTTATTTTCTAAACCAGTGACCTAGACCTTGACCCTAGAGACCACTTACTCCACAAAAAATTAGAGGACCATTAAAGATATCCACCTACCAAATATGCAAGATATCATTAAATAAATTAAGCAATTAAGAGAAATTTACGATAAATCCAACTTGCTGGAATAGGTTAACCAGACAAGGCCCTATTTTCAAAGTGAAAAAGGGAAATAACTGTGAAATATGGATAACACAGTTATATAACTTGGCAATATCATGTACTTTGTATTGATAAGTAAGTGTGGAAATTATGAAGCCATTAGTAAAGATAGAACTTAAGATATTTCCAACTTGCCGTTTTAGGTTAACCATTATTCATTTTCTAAGTGCTGAAAAGGGCAATAATTTTGTAAATATGGAAGCAATAGTTATGTTACTTGACCAGATCATGTACTTTGTATTGATTAGTAAGTGAGTAAACTAAGAAGCCATTGGTACAGGTAGAACTTAAGAAAAATCCAACTTGCCGTTCTAGGTTAACCTCGTACGGACAGACGGACGAACGGTTCAATTACTATATGCCCGGCGGCGTAAAAAAGCATCTTATAACTTTCAAAAATAAACAGCAATAAAACAGAATGAAGAAATGATCAGACTGATAACATTTACAGAAGATATAAAAGTTTTAGATATCACTGATATACCAGGAAATGGTCCTTGTACTGGTATTGCCTATAGGAAACCCTATCTTGTAGTTTCATATTGGAATCCAGCTAGTGTTAAGATTCTAAGTATTTCAGGTGAAATTGTTAAAACATTTGACAAAGATGATAATGGTCAGAATCTGTTTATTGAACCTTGGTACTTAACTGTCAGTCCTGACAATACTATATGTTTCTGATCGCAACAAACAAACGGTGACCTGTTTAACCTATGATGGTAAGGTGAAGACTGTCTTCAAGGATGATCAACTGAAAAGACCTTATCAACTTGCTGTTGATGAATTTGGCTCAGTATTTGTGTGTGGTTTTCAGTGGAAATATCCATCAATTATCAAGTGAACTCACTAAAGTGAAGATTTTGATAGATAAAAATGAAGGATTAGTTCAACCAAATAGTGTTGTCTACTGCCCCAATACTGAACGATTGTTTGTAGGAATGACAAATAAAATCAAAGTATTCCATGTGTCACTAGAATAAACAAAAATAACTCTTACATGGAGACTCATCAACATGCAGTTATCATACTGCACATATTGCAGCAGAATAAGGGTCATAATCTTTAACAATTGACTTAAATATAGCACATGTATTCTTAGTTTATACAGAATTACACAAAGTAAATTTATTATGTAAACACTTTACTCAAAACATACTAATGGCCTGCTTCAATATACCGTTGATATCTTTTTATCGGTTGGCTTTAATGTCGCACCAACACTGTAAATCTAATAGAGCGACTCTCTAGCTTTAGGTACTCTCCGTGCATTATATCATGCATACTCGGGCACATGAGTAGAAATAAGTTGTAAGCTAGCTGGATAGCTTCCTGACAAAGAATTAAAGTGCCTGGCGAGATTCGAACCCACAGTGGTGAGGGGCAAGCGGATTGAAGACAACGACCTTAACCACTCAGTCACGACCTTAACCACTCAGTCACGGACGACATTGAAATATATACCTGATTACCCCAAAACTTAAATACACTCATTGTAGTGTAAAAGGTAAATGAAAAATTAAGGTTCCTTTCTGTATTGAGATTTAATTCATGAAAGAGGCCTCCATTTTAGAGTAGTGAAGATCCTTTCAAATGTCATAAAGGTAATTGCATTTTCTTTCCCCTCTGCCACACAATGCGTAAAGTTGTCTTTTTAGGGTAAATTTATGTTAATGTACATCAACAAAACAAGAACAGCCATTTATTTTTATTTCACATTGATGCATCAAGAAATGATAAAACATAACAAGAGAAGGTAACTCTAGATAAATATGTTCACAAACTATCTTTTACACTTGAGCTATAGCATTATTTCTTATATAATTAAAGAAAGAACCAAGAGCTCTCACCTTTAATTAAAGTTTAATTTTACGTAAAAATGTTTATTTTCTGCTCAGCTCAAGAATGTTTCAATTAGGCTCAAAGCTTTCTTTACTAAGCCATCCTGATAACCACATATTTACCTTTCCACTAAGTTTTGTTCCTAAATTTGAAAGTTCTAGGAAATTCATATTTTCAGAAAAAGTATTAAATACCGTGTCTAAATGATCAAAGAAATTAAGTATTGATTCAACAACTATTTGAAAAGAAATCATCTTTCTTTTATTATAGTTTTATAATCCATTTTAAATGTAAGTATTGATTTATCATTGTAATATTCAATTGCACAATTCGGTTTTATTGTCTAATTTAATCCCTTTATTGCATTGTTAATTCACTTCCTCTTCATTTTGCTGATGTTTGGGGCTGTGACCTTCACCTTTCCTGGAATGTTCCGTGATATATCCACATCCTGAAAAATATGAGTTATAAAATTTATCTTTAAGACTAGAAATGCCCCCGCATGCAGCCAAAATTTCAGATGGTGCATTAATTATTTTTTTCATTTTAAGTTCAAAGCCCTTAAAACTTTTCAATGTTAACACAAACCATTTTCATACAATTTTAAGGCACTGAAATTATTCAGTCTTAACCTTTTAAAAATAGCATATTGCATATTTGTAGCCAAAATAATGGCTAAAAGTATGAGTGCTGAAACTGAAAGTTCAAAATTTTCCCGACATTCAGGAAAGATAAGTTTGTCTAAAATCATTGAACCACGACCAAATTCAAACTTAAACTGCTTATTCCTAAGATGTATCTATATTATTGTCAAAGTGAAAGGGACATAACTCTGCCAAAAAATCATCAAACCATGACCAAATTCCAACTTGTCCTGCCCATTCCTTTGACATATCCATATGTCAAATTTAAGTTGAATACTGTTGGGTAGATAATGAACAGAAACTGTAAATTTCATATTATTTTCAAAGTGAAAGGGGCATTACTCTGCCAAAAATCATTGAACCATGACCAAATTCGAACTTGGCCTGGGCATTCCAAAAACATATCCATATGTTAAATTTGAGTTGAATGTGTTGTACCATTGGGGAGATAATAAACGGAAACTGAAAATTTCATATTACTTTCAAAGTGAAAGGGGCATTACTCTGCCAAAAATCATTGAACCATGACCAAATTTGAACTTGACCTGCGCATTCCTTTGACGCATCCATATATCAAGTTTGAGTTGAATGTGTTGTACCTTTGGGGAGATAATGAACGGAAACTGAAAATTTCATATTGTTTTCAAAGTAAAATGGGCATAACTCTGCCAAAAATCATCAAACCATGACCAAATTCAAACTTGACCTGTATTTTTTTCATGACGCATCCATATGTCAAGTTTGAGTTGAATGTGTTGTACCGTTGGGGAGATAATGAACGGAAACTGAAAATTTCATATTATTTTCAATGTAAAAGGGGCATAACTCTGCCAAAAATCATCGAACCATGACCAAATTCGAACTTGACCTGTATTTTCTCATGACATATCCATATGTCAAATTTGAGTTGAATGTGTGCAACCGTTCTTAAGATAATGAACGGAAACTGATGATGACGGAATGACAGAATGACGGAACAGGGTAACACTATATGCCCCAGCCATTACATGGCGGGGGCATAAAAATATATCTACTAATATTAAACAGCGCAAACAAGTGACATTACTTAAAATGTTTCCTTAAAATTATGTTTAATATAAATTATGTTTAATTTAAATCACAGATTTAACTTAATATAGTGATTTTCCAGCTCTATTTCTGTGAGAAAAACCTCTGAAGCCCCTTATTAAAATTATTTCGGTCACAACAGTAGTCATCATCGTTCAAAATTCTAAGTTCCACCAATGACCAACACATTCTTGTATATACTATCAGCAATTTCCCCTAATGTGCCCCCGATTTCCTCCAAAGATATATAAAAAAGTGTTTACAAAGAAACACTTTGCAATGCTCCTCTTAATGTGCCCAAAGTTCCTCCAAAGATACCGGTATTTGATCAGTCTCAAAATGGCAGACATATCATGTTTTCAATTGTATTTTCAAGGTTTTATTTATCAAGAATTTACAATTTTAATCTATTTATCAGAAAATAGCTGATAACGACTATAAAAATTTGAATATCTTCTGTGCTAAAAAGGATAATGTACATGAATCAAAAGCTTGATCCAACCAGTAACCCCTGGATTATAAATCCAATGTTCTCCTTTTTGAGCTAAGCAGGCCCATATTATAATATAAAGCTCACCTTTAATATTTTTACAAGGTCTCTTTCTCTTGGTGTTATAGTTTTATCATACTGGAACATGTTAATGGCAATTTTTGCAGCTAAAAAGAAAACAAACATTTCATTTTTACACAAAACAGATTGAATGTTTGATCAATTATTTTGCATGATGAAAAATGGAAGCCGGTCAAGTGCATTTGAGAAATTTAGCAGGTTACGGGTTAATAAACCAGCAAGACAGTTGGTTTATCAATCTTACATGAGTACTAGTCATTAAATTTTATTAACTAACTGACTAAATATTATCAACAGTTTTAAACTGGCCTAATTATTGTTTTCATTATATTTTGTTGCATAAATTTACTGACTTCAAACACGCTTTATACTTTTAACACAACATATGAAAGGCTTGGGCTAAATGCTGTTTTTTAACATTAATGCTGGCTCTCCCCAAGTGAGTAACCTATAGGCTAAGATTAAGTTGGTTGAAAAGTTAAGTACACTAGGTACCATTTATAGTATCTTTAGAAAACACACACAGGCTAAATTTAACTAGTCAATCAATGGCTTTGTCAATCAAGTGTTTGTAAGACTTTCTATGTCTAAAATGATCAAATAAAAGTCTTATTAATTTTGTACCTTTTCCTCTTTTTGTTGACCCTGGCAGCAGCTTAACCTTGTACCTGAAAGATTTAATATGAATGATGAAAATTATACGTAAGACAATAAAAATATTACCAAAATTTCACTTTTAGTCATGTCATTTTAGAGCTGCATGACCAAACATTTTGAGAGGTTATTGTTTTCATTTTCAAATTCATACAAATTGATATACGCTTTAAACATATAAGCTGAACAAAATCATCAGAAGGGGGTCATTTTTCAAGTCTTTATAGAAATAGTGTAGGACTTAAAATATGGTTTGGCTTAAATTCATTATCATTTCACCAAATAAGTGACATTATAATTTATTATGTGTCAAACTTCTTCCTTCCTTCTTCAATATGTCTGATTTATCTGTAATTAATGAAACATAATTATAACTTTTTAGACTCAGAATTACTTAACATTTAACATATATCAGTCTTAAATGAAATTTGCGAAACTTAAATATTATTTGTCAGACACTTCTAATTGTCATACTTAACTTACAATTTACAAGACTTGCATTCAATTTGTAAAACTTGCTAACAATTTGTCACTTACTTATAATTTGTCAAAGCATTGTATGGAGCACAGACTGGCAGAGCAAACAGCAACTCATCCTCAATATTTGGTATGCCAGTCAAAGAGTTCAAAATCTGCTGGTCCTGAAAAAATAGATCAGTTGAAATAGTATAAAGCCATGGTAAAATGTTCTTGTATAAAATGTATTAAATTATTTTTTCTGGAACAGAGAAAAGGAAAATGACAACACAATGCAATCACACAAAAAGCAATTTCCTAGTGGACTATTTAAAGGGTAAAAAATTTTCAATCATGAGTGTAATGGGCAAATTTTCTGCAATGTGTGTATTAAAAGAAAGAAAATCATGTCAGAAAACATTTAATCATTTTTCATGGAACAAAGAAACAGAAAATGACTGCATAATTCAATCATGTAATTTTCAAGAGAACTATCTAATGGGCAAAAAGAGTTCAAAATAATGTCAAAACTTATACTGATTTTAATTTTCTTAAAATTCAAATCTCCTTATTCATTTATTTTACATTAGACTTTACGTTTTCACATGACATAATACTAGTTATACAGTCTTCTATTGCTTTATATTGCCACTGTTATATTATGAAGACTTACATCAGTAGTTTGTGTGTCATCTTCTAACTTCTCATCATCGTCAATAACCTGAGCTTCTACAATCTCTTTATTGTTTGTAGGATCCTCTGAAATCATATTCATGTATCACTTTTAATTGTTATGATCAATTTTGTCTTTTCTTTTCTTTTTTTTTTAAAAAAACTGTCCAGCTTTACTGGTAGAGGAAGATCTTGGGTGCCCCTCATAAGGGATAAAGGGCACCTAAGTAGAGCCAACAACTTACCATAAGCTAGCTGGATAGCTTTTCAACATGAAAACAATCTGAAGTCCCTGACGAGAATCTAACCCACAAGCGTGAGTGGCAAATGGTTTTCAAGTCAACAACCTTAGTGACAAAAGCACTATAAATGTCATATGTCTTTCAAGCTTTACTGGTGTAGGAAAACTCCACTCATTATTACAAGTATCAGTGAACCATTTACAATAACCACTTGGCCATGAAAGCCGAGCCTCCCCATAAGCCAATGAAATAAATAAGATAGCACATTTTCTAATAAAAAATACATAGTCAGTGAATTTATTGTTAAATACAGGGCAACATAAAGATTACAGCTCTAACATAATCTGATTTATATGCCACCAGAGCAGAAAATACATTTACAAAAGGAATGCATATCAATATAGATACCTTCACACATGCTCATTATTTTTCACAAAAAAATCTAAATCTAAAAAAGTTAAAAAGTAAGACAACATACCTGTACTTGCTGTATTTTCAACATCTTTAATAATGATATCAACAAGTTCTGGCTTCTTTCTCTGTTGTTGTTGTTGAGGTTTCTTCTCCACTGCCGATTGTGGGCGTCCTTTTTCATCCTTCTTTCCTTTCTTCTTTTTATCTTCCTTTTTAATGCCAGCAGACTGTAGATAAAGAAAAGTATCCAATCATTTCAAAATAATAAGTGTAGTTTCAATAATTTTCCATAATCCTTGGATATCAAGGTAGAACTATTTATTAATCAAACAGTGAAACTACATATTCTGGTGAACTGGCCATGATCAATCATGAATCATAAGCTTGATTTATGTACAGTGTGCTCTCGTAGAATTAAATAAAAAAATTTCAGCTGAATAGTTTTTCTTCATATTTGTCATAGAAAGATTGCTTTAGTATACAAATGTATATTTGTAGTTGTAAAACATGTAACATGTACTATGATAGTAATTTTGTTTTCTCATCACTTTATATAAACCTGAACATCACAGAAAGTTTCTAAAATTCAAGAAAAATGTTTATCTTCAATTACCTTTCAAAATTCTAAATTAACTATTTACAATTAATACTCAGTTGCCCTGTTAGCATAAGCAAACAAACAATGAAACTCACAGCAAGAATTTCATACGGAGTTGTCTTTCTCTCCTCATCCTGATCTTTATATTTGTCCTTCAATTTTCTTTCATCTTGGCCTGAAGTAACAATATATATATAAAAAAAAAAATTGGGTTAATTTGTAATTTCTAAATTTGAACTTCTGTGTATGAAATATAGACTTGTTTTGTAAGTGTAGATTTCATCAAAGTTACATCATACCAAAAAGTTCATGTGTTTATGTACATCTGGTACTGAAATATTCTTATACAAACAATGCTTACAACTTAGTATTAACCCTAAAAACCTACTGGATTTTGTTAAATGGACTTATTCAGCTTCCATTTCTGGGATTGTCCATTATCAACACTGAGTAAATTTAAAGTCAGCCAGTCAAAATTGTAGAGCCTGTCAGACTGAAATTATGATGGTGGCAAAGTCTTTCAGTAGGAAAAGGAATAAATTATCTACCTTTTGCCCCCTCTTAGGTTGCTGCTGTATTTCTGTTTGTTCTTTGTTTTCTTTTTTCCCCTTGTTCCGTCCTCGTCCCTGGTTATCTTCTGGCAGCCATGATTTCTCCTCCTCTTCCTCACCTTCAGTCTGTGTTGGTAACTGGGGCTGCTGCCCTTGTTTCTTAGCCTTCTTCATTTCTCGCCTTTGTTTAGCCGATAACCTTGGCCCGCCAGTTGATTTCTGAAATATTTTGTACATGCTTACAATTGTTTGATTATATCTTTGCCATCCTATTGTACAACCCAGGAAAGCATATTATATGCATTCAGTATCCATTATTTTGTATATACTCCTGAATTAGCCCTTAATGCATATTCCAGAAATTGCCTATGGCTTAAAGGAAATTTTCTAAGGTTTTCTGCCATAGACAGGAAATATTTTTTGCAAGATTTTATAAACCAATTGATGTCTGACCCAACAACTTTCAAATTTTCCAGAAAAATAGTGTGCAAAATGACCCAAAAAAGAAAAGGGTTTAACACTGTTTACTTAACAACAGCTAAGAATCTCAATAGAAAGTCAGATTGAGAACAATACAAAATAATGCCAACCTTTTCGCCAAAGGTAACAGCCTCATCATCACCTAAGAAAATCTGATCACTGTCTGTACTCTGTGTGGAGAAACTTCTTGCTAACTCATATCTGTCATAAAATAACAAAGAATAATAATCATGTAGTGCTGTGTTAAATAAGAAATGGGAGTTGAAATATGCAATTAATCTTTAAACACTTTCAAATCTTTGAAACAGGCTAACTCTGATTATTCTAAGGGATTTAAAGTGTTAAAATCAATAATATCACTCACATAACTTCCTAACATAATGAAATCTAAACCCTCAGTGGTGAAAGGCAAGTGATTTGAAGTTGAATTCCTTGATTATTCAGCCACAGAGGTTCTCCAAGACATTATTACTACAAGTGAAATAGGAAGTCAAACAGAGTTTTCTTTGAAATAATGTAGGTTCCTGGTAAAAAAGCTTGATTGTTAAATTAAAACTAAAATAAATAATCACAACCAAACTGGATCAGGATAACCCAAAACCAAGCTTGGCACCAATCTTCTTAAATTTTCTTAAAGTGAGGTTTGTGGTCTTTGAACAAACTCATGAATAGAAGAAAAGTTTTACAGATTTGTGGGCATCTTAATTGGATAAAACTTAATGAACTACAATTAAAGGGTGTTTACAATACGTTTACTCCTAAATGTTTAAAACTAGAAGGAGTTTTTGTCACAAAAACATATCTCTCCCAAAACAAGGTATGGTACTGATCACTTCTGTGAATTTGGGCAACATCCCACCAGCAGTTTGACCTTTGAAAGCCGGACAAGATTTTTCTTTTTGTTGCTCTGCCTGCCAGTTTGTGCAGCAAAGTTGAACATGACGGTGAAATGCACATCTAGGGATGGTACTGATCACACCTGTGAAGTTCATTGAAATCAAACCAGCAGTTTGACCTGTGAAAGCCAGACAAGACTTTTCTATTTATAGCTCTGGTTGCCATTCTGTGCAGTGAAGCAGAACGTGCTCGATATATGAACATCTAGGGATGCTACTGATCACACCTGTGTAGTTTCATTACATGCAGTTCAACCTGTGAAAGCTGGACAAGATTTTTCTATTTTCAGCTCTGACAGTCATTTTGGGCAGCACAGCGGAATGTGCCAGCGATATGCACACCTAGGGTTTGTACTGATCACTCCTGTGAAGTTTAATTGAAATTTCCCCAGCAGTTAGACCTGTGAAAGCTAGACAAGCTGAATGCAGATGGAGTGGCACACAGACAGATGGACACACCACAAAGGCAAAAACAACTTGTCTCTCAAAAAGTTTGGGAGACATAATGATAAGAAAATAAAATTTAAACTTACTTATCTCCTTTCACATGATGCAGATTAATTTCTGTATCTGGAAACTCTACAACATTTTCAGTTTCTGGTTTCACATTGGCATTTTTTTCTCATCATTTACAACTTCTCTTTCACTGGTTTCAACACCATCACAGATTTTATCACTTTTTGTATTATCACAGACTTTGTCGTCCATATCACCTTCAGTTCTAACACTTTCTTCACAACTGTCTGATTCATTTATATTTTCTGACTTAACTTTTGTCCTGGCACTATTATCTGTATTTTCCTCATTCTTTGAGACATTTTTGGCATTTTCTCTATCAGTATCATCATTGTTATCATTATTTGTTTGCTCATCATCAGAGTCTACTTCATTATCACTAATGGTTTCCATGGTGATTTCACTCTCTGCTACAGAAGAATCAGCCACTGAGATCTCATCATCTTCGGCTGTTCTAACTTTGCGTTCTCCGGCGTGTGGTCTACTGTTCCTCCAACTTACCAATAATATTTACATTTTACTCGTGTATACTGCCTTCCTCCAACTACCAATAACCAAATTTTACTAATCAATACTGTAGATTAGGGTTTCCCTATATGCATTCCCTACAAGAAAGAATCAAGCGTCACTGGTGGGACTCAGACCCAACTTGAGATCAAGTAGTTTAAAGCCAAGGGCTCAATCACTCTGCCATGGACACCTAGAATGGAGCATGTTACTTTTACCCCAACTTAAGTCTACTATGGCTTGTGATATGTGACAATTTGTTTAAACTAGAACTGCCACTGTCATGGCGTGAATACCCCCGCATACCACTTTGTCAGAATTAACAGTGGCCATTTAGAACTCAAGAACAACCACCCTGCCAAATCTGAGGTTACTAAGCCAGTGCATTGCTAAGATATGTATTCTCCATGCTTCAAATGTGAAAATTTTAAAATCAAGTTTTTTAGTCAAGGCCCCTGTGACCTTGACCTTTGACCCAGTGACATCAAAATCAATAGTGGTCATTTACTAATCATGACTAACCTCCATGCCAAATATGAAGACTGCGGGTCAAAGGAATCTCAAGTAATTGGGCGGATAAGGTTTTTTTAGTCAAGGCCCCTGTGACCTTGACCTTTGACCCAGTGACCTCAAAATCAATAGGGGTCATCTACTAATCATGACTAACCTCCATGCCAAATATGAAGACTCTGGGCCAAAGGAATCTCAAGTTATTGGGCGGACACGCTATTTAAAGTCAAGGCCCCTGTGACCTTGACCTTTGACCCAGTGACCCCAAAATCAATAGGGGTATTATTACTAAAAAAAACATCATATTGAAATGATGAATAATAAAATCAATAGGTTTACACATACCTTGAAAAGAAGTCCAAATCCATAGATCAAGTATGATGGTGGCAAATAGTTTTTCTTTCCTAAAATGAAAATATGTTTTAAAGCCTCCAAATGAGTCAAAATATTTTGAGAAGATTAAACTTGACCAATAGGGACTGATTTTAAAGTATTTATCACCATATTCCTACTGTGTTAGTTACTACTGCAGGAAGGGCTATTTTTGCTTATTTTGAATTCTTTTTGGTAATTCACATGGATTGTAAGTGCTGTTTGCATTGTGTAAATTATTTTCTTTGTTGGCTTCACACAATATTTTTTTTTTAAATAAATTTTTAAAATGTTCATGAAAATTAGCCTGAATCTGGAGGTGTGCTGCTTTAACAATGATAAATACTTTTAACATACATAGTATGTTAGACTAATTTATATTTTGGCATTTCTACTCAATCAGATTCCAAAAAATATATCTATCCTTTCTTAAGCAGAAAACAAATATTTTGAAATTCTTGCCTATTAAAATAGAACAAGGCAGTCTAAAAACAGCTTAATCCCCTTCCGCAGCGGACATGAATGTGTACTTCTTGACCTTTAACCAACCACAACCTTGATGTTGTGCCATGCATATCATAAGCACATAGGCTCATCATGGTGATTATTTGTGTCAATTTATTTAAAATCTTCCAAATCATAAAGCAACAATCTTGCAAATAATTTAAAGACTATTACTGTGAAAAAATCATAGTCAAAAGAATGTCATATTTTTCATTTACCTACCTCTTATCATGAAACTACCAGTGGTGAGATACTCCCCAGAGGGGGCAGTCTTTGATACCTGACTAGGATACACCCACCAGGCACTGGTTACCACTTTAGCATCCCAGGCTGCACTGTTACATATAGCCATGGTTCCCGCTTCATTCAGAGTCTTTGGTGGTATTGGTTCCCCAGTGTTATTCTTGATAATCACACTGCTAGCACCATGAAGGTCAGCATGCACATACACATCTCCTGTAAAAAATATTTTGAAATAATTGAAATATATCTATTCACATGTTTACAAGTCTCTGGAATGTTATACTTTTAAGTCCCTGGCATGCTATACTTTAAAGTATCTGGAATGTCATGGAATGTTATACATTAAGTCTTTGGCAATTGCCATGCTTTTAAGTCTCTGGTCCATTCATTGCTATACTTCTAGGTCTCTGGAATGTTATACTTTTTTGTCTCTGGAATCTAAATGCTATATTCTATGTCTCTGGAATGCTTTTATTTTAAGTCTATGGAATGCTTCACTTTTGAGTCTCTAGGATGCATAACTTAACGTCTCTGAAATATATTGCTATACTTAAAGTATCTGGAATGCTATACTTTAAGTTTCTGTAATGGTTTACTTTAAGCTTCTGCAATATTATACTTTTAAGTTACTGAACTGCTATATTTCAATGTGTATTAAGCTATATATCTGCACTTTTCAGTTTACAAAATAATTGTTTGAATTTTGAATAAGGAGATTTCCAAGATATTTGCATGAAAGAAAAATGTGGAATTTTTCCTTTAGCGTAAATAGGCAAACATGAAATTATTGTTAAACTACCAAGTGTAACCTTGACCTTGGAGCTTGGGGTCTAGGTCCTGCACATGCCTCATTGTCTCATCTGCCAAGTTATTTTAAAATTTCTCAATGCATGACAGATTTATGGGCTGGACAAGATATTCTAACATCTAACCTTTTATCTCTAAGACGTCACTTAAGTACAGTAACAAGTTAATTTTAATTTTATAGGAGTTAACCCATTACTGCACTAAGGTGACAAAGTGTGACCTTGAACTTGGAGCTAGGGATCTAGGTCATGCCCATTAAACACCGTCTATCATGCAACACATTTGTGCCAAATTATTTCAAAATTCCTTAAAGCATGACAGAGTTATGAGCAGTACAAGGTTTTCAAAGGCATGTAACCTCTTGTCATCATGACATGGGCATAAAAACTAAGTGACATTCAGGGCATAACTCATGTTTTTTCCCTAAGGCCATGGTTTATATAACTTTTGTAGTCTAAACAAAACCACATTGTTCACATCTATTTTCAGGATATCAAAAAGTACATGTATCAGCTGTGGAAAGACTGAATGTCTTTAATTCAATATCAAGAACTCTTTAAAAGATCTCATTTTCTTCTTTTTATCGAAATGCACACTTGTAGATCCAGTTCAACCTTTATATATTAACTGCACTTAGATACTGTATAATTTCAAGAAAAGTCAAATGAGTGAGAACGTGATATTATATTGATTAACAGAGCTATATTTTACTGTAACATTATCAAATGGTACAAGATTATTCAAGACTATCGTTGATAAAAATTAAAAACAAAAACCTTTACTTCTCTCATATGATCACTTATCATGATACATGTATATATGGCGAATATTACAACTTTCAAAACAATCAGAAAAAAATCTCTTAAGAGAAAAACCTTTCAAACTCGAATACATTGTACTTTACTTCAAGGGAAGGATACATTAAAAGAAATTCAGAAAATCAGGAATTTTCTAAACTTCCTGAAAAAAAAGAGAAAAAGAAATGGCTACTGATGACGGTGCATCAACAACATTTGACTCAGATGAAGTTAAGGAAATGTACTGTGAAGAATGTGAAAAACATGGTGATGGCTATACACCCGCTGTAGCCTTCTGTGTGGATTGTGTGGAATATAAATGTGTGACCTGTCAAAAATATCATAAGAGACAATCGAAAACTCACAAAATTCAAGACAGTGACAGTATGCCACAAGATTTCTATTTTGAGAAGTGTTCCACTCATCCTCAACAGCTGATCAAGTTTTACTGCTCTGAGTGTAGCAAAGAGGCCTGTCAAGAGTGTAAGGATACTGAGCATGATAAATGTAGTGATGTGAACCATTTACCAACCCTTGCTTCAGGCATACAAAAAAGTGATGACTTAAAAGACCTTCAACAGAACTTGGATCGATTGTCGGAGGAAATAAAAGACACGGAAAAGCTGTTGAAAGCTAAAAGTGAAGTGGTTGATAAACAAGAAGAAAAGGCAACTGAAATATGTAAGGAGCACGCAGATAAACTAATTGAAACCTACATACAACAGCATCAAGATCTTATTGATGACTTTGATAAAAAGATGGAAGAGACCATTGCAAGGTTGAAGAAAGAAAGGCTAGAACTAGTTCAAGTTTTGTCTGAAAAGGAGAGAATGTTTAAAAACAAGATAACAAAAGCTGAAACAGTTATGAAAGATGAAGTTGTTGGCACAAACACAGAATTTAAGGTAATCAAGTCAGAACATTTAAATCTGGTTGGAAATTTGAAGGTTCTTACTGCTGATCTAGAACAGGCCCAAAAATTAGGTCAAAACAGTAAACTTTTTATCAAATTGAAGTCTACAAAACAACTGTGTGAAAACCTTCATCGAAATATTGAACAAATACAACAAGTCAGCATACAGCACTACAAATTCAAAACATTGAACATCCAACCAACAGAACAAGCTCTAGAGAGTGTTACGAGACTTTTCACTTTTAAAAATGTATCAGCTATAGAAAGAAGAGTTGTCTTTAATTTTGATATCAACTCTCACATTGACTTCATATCCTCTTCACTTGTCTTATCTGAACAAACACTTCTAACATTAGATTGGAATAAGTGTAGCCTAGCCATACACAAACTAGGAATATCATATGCAAATTGTATGAATGATACAAAATTTGATTCAAGTCCATGCGATATTACAAAAGTTTCAGATTATAAAGTTGCTGTAACATTTCCAAATGAAAAAATGATCAGAATGATAACATTTTCAGAAGATATGAAAGGTTTAGATATCACTGATATACCAGTAAATGGTAATTGTACTGGTATTGCCTATAGGAATCCCTATCTTGTAGTTTCATATTGGAATCCAGCTAGTGTTAAGATTCTAAGTATGTCAGGTGAAGTAGTGAAAACATTTGACAAAGATGATAATGGTAAGAAGCTGTTTATTGAACCTTGGGGCTTGATTGTCAGTCCTGACAATACAATGACATATGTTTCTGATGTAGACAAACACACTGTGACCTGTTTAACTTTTGATGGTAAAGTGAAGGCTGTCTACAAGGATGATCAATTGAGAACACCTCGTCAGCTTGCTGTTGATGAATACGGATCAGTATATGTGTGTGGTTTAGACTCTGAAAATATCCATCAATTATCAAGTGACCTCACTAAAGTGAAGATTTTGGTAGATAAAAGTCATGGATTAGATAAACCAATGAGTGTTGCCTACTGCCCAAATACCAAAAGATTATTTGTTGGAATGCGAAACAAAATCAAAGTATTCCATGTGTCACTAGAATAAACAATAACAAATCTTACACAGAGACTCATCAACAAGCAGTCATCCTACTGCACATGTTGCAGTAGAATAAGGGTGGTAATCTTAAACACTTGACTTAAATATAGCACATGTAATCTTAGTTTATACAGAATTTATTTTAGCTTGATTGTGAAGGAAGCTATAAGCTTATATACACACTCTGGATTCTTGCATCTATTCCTGAAACCAACCAGTGATGAGTAACAAATTATAAAGTTTCTTGCTTAAGGAAACAAAGGCTTGCCACTGACAGGAGTTAAAACCCATGAGGCCAGCAATCCTTGGATTACTAATTCAACATGATAACTACTTACTCAAATGGCAACGTGGAACCTTGAAATACAATATTCAACAGAAGTATAATATTAAGGTTAAATTTGTTTGTTTGTTTGTTTGGGTTTAACAGTGACACTGACACATTACTGGTCATACCATGCCGTTTTTGTTAGGTGTAATTTACCGGTATCATGTTATGTGTAAATTTACTATGTATACATTTTACTGTATAAACTGATTATAAATACTTGATTAATGAATAAAATGTTTGATAAGCTTAAATTTTTTTAGACTTATAAAGCAGACATATTTATTTAAGAAAACAAGTGTCTTAAAATGAATTTTAAACAATAGTATACAAGAACAAGATTTAATTTCTAGAACTGATTCCCAAATACAATTACCACATACAGGCAAAAATATGAAATGGAAAGTGACCAAAGCATTTTGTTCAATTCACAAAGGGCCAAATCCATGCAACAGATATGGGTCTTGGAAAGTGATCTTGAATTTAAATTTCCAACTAGAAATGTGTCTAAACAACACGTATATCCCAACTATATATGTTAGGGCCCTGAATAATAATTAGATGTCAAAGGTTAGCAGCATTTTTTAATATTCACAAGAATGCCTTCTCTTATTTACATTGCAATTAGTTATTAACAAAACTATGATAATAATTATAGAAAAATATCTACCGGTTTCATCTGTTAAAGTGGTCTTCAAGACCAGTAGATATTTTTCTATAATCATTATAAAACTTTAGTTAATAATAATTGCAATGCTAATCAGAAAAGGCATCACAATTCTTTTTTCTTCATTTTTTATCAACATTGTTTGCAACTTTACATTTTGGATTTCAAAGGACATGATATTTTACTTCGGGATAAACAACAACAAACAAGAGCTGTCGGTAGGACAGCACGCTCGACTATTCTAAGTGCTTGATAGTAAAAGAGCCTTGATAATGTATAATTTTTTAAGTTTTATAAATTCATGTTATAGGCCTTAGAGAGAGTCTAATTATACAGTATTGCCTTGACTATGTCGGAAGGAAATGTCACAAGGGTGTTTTACTGAGTATAATAATACTAATTACCTATGAATACATAAATTTGACAGAAAAGGTACAAAGGCTTGTTATTAAGATGTTTTATCAAGTAAATCACTGCTTTGTTATCATGAATGCATAAAATTGTCCCAAAAAAAACACAAACCCTTAAGTAGTTATTGAGATAACAGCTTACAAGCAAAAACTTTACCATGAATTTCTAAGTTGAAAAAAGGGGAGAAAAATCAGCCTAAATGCAAGATAGAATTATGGATCTTTGTCAGTGACCTACAATTATGACCCTAAATGCATATGAGAAGTTTTAAATAAATATCTTTAATAGTTATTGAGATATGCTAAAACTTGCATGTAAACATTAACCAAGAGACTAAGTAGAAAAGGGGATATGAATCAGCCTTAATGCAAGATGGAGTTATGGAACTTGGTAAGTGACATACAATTATGACCCTCCGATTATGACCCTAAGTGCATGTGTAAAGTTTTTCAAGTAAATATCTTTGAAGACGCTTTAACCAAAATTTCTAAGTTTCAAAGGGGCAAATAATTCTGCAAATATTGCGGGCAGAGTTATGCAATTTTGCAAACTGATGTACATTGTTACTATAAAAAAGTATTTTAAATTTCAATTGAATATCTCGAGCAATAATTGAGATATTTGACTTTACAAAAAAACTTTAACCAAAAAATTTCCAAAGGTGCATAATTCTATCAATATTGTAGGCAGAGTTATCCAACTTGTCAATCTGATGTACCTTGTTACTATAAATAAGTAATGTAAGTTTCAATTGAATATCTCAAGCAATAATTGAGATATTTGACTTTACAAAAAACTTTAACCAAAATTTCTAAGTTAAAAAGGGGCATAATTCTGTCAATATTGTAGGCAGAGTTATCCAACTTGTCAATCTGATGTACCTTGTTACTATAAATAAGTATTGTAAGTTTCAATTGAATATCTCAAGTAATAATTGAGATATTTGACTTTACAAAAAACTTTAACCAACGCAGACGCCGACGCGGACGCTGACGCCGGGGCGACTACAATAGCTCTCATATTCTTCGAATAGTCGAGCTAAAAACAAGAACTGTTAGAGGACAGTAATGCTTGACTATTCAAAAGATGTCACAAGGTTGTTTCATTAAGTATAATAATGCTTACCTATATAAATACATAAAATTGTCCGAAAAGGTACAAAGGCTTGTAATTAAAATTTTTTATCGAGTAAATCACTGCTTTATTATTATGAATGCATCAAATTGTCCAAAAAAGGCACAAACCCTTCAGTACTTATGGAGATACCAGCTTACAAGCAAAACTTTTACTTTTACTAGAATTTCTAAGCTGAAAAAGGGGCATAACTATGAAAAAACAAATCAAGAGTTATTGGATATGTGCCAATCATATAAAATAATCACAGAGAATAAGTGTGTGAAGTTTCAATCCATTCCCTTCAGTAGTTATGGAGATACTAGCTTACACACAAAAACTTAACCAAAAATTTCTAAGTCGAAAAAGGGGCATAATTATGCAAAAAAGCTAATAAGAGTAAATGGACTTGTGCCAATCATGTTAGGTAATCACAGAGAACAAGTGTGTGAAGTTTCAATCCATTCCCTTCAGTAGTTATGGAGATACCAGCTTACACGCAAAAACTTAACAGGGACACCAACACCAACAAATGGGTGACTGCATTAGCTCGATTATTCTGCGAATAGTCGAGCTAAAAATGTTATGAGGAGCTGCCACATAATAAGTCAGCCTTTGTATATGTACACATAGTTCTTGGTATAAATGTGATAAGTATTCACAGATCTAAAGCAATGTTCACTCACAACACATAATTATGAAAGAACATTTATCAAATTTTAACACTGGGATAAATATAGAAAGACTGCTATATTATGATCAAGATTACAGTTATGCGACAAAGTGACAAACAAACCGACAGATATATCATTATAATCACAACAAAAGCATGTCTCTTAGCTTTTCTATCTCCTGCACTGCCCCTCACATAGGGAGAAAGGGAGGGAATTGGGGCAAGGGTTAAAAATTGACTGGTCGATTAAATTACTTCATTAACATGACAATGCAAGTACAAAGGAAATTAACATGTATGTACCTTGTCTTAAGTATCTTTTAACAATCAGTTCATTTTGCTGCTGATCTCGACCACCAATCACTAGGAAGTTCTCCGAACTTATAAACCATAAAAACTTCTCAAACCTATAAAAACAAAACAATATAATTACTTTACTACATTGGAACATTTTATTCACATATTAAAGTCCAACATATAATAATGCCTGAATCTGATGCAAATACATGTTTTTCAGTTTATCTGGTGATTGTTTGGTGCTTCTCTTACCTTTTTTGAATAGATTAGAGTGCAACTACATTTGTAACGTAAAAATTATTAAAGGTTTAGAAATTAGGTAAACTGGAGCAACACAACTGGCCAGATTGTGAGTTTGGACAGTTATGAAAATACTAGGAAATAGGTTGCCCATGTACAATGACTAAATTCAAAACATTCCAGTCATAGTTTATACGGATACAAAAAAAGAGCTACCAGCTATATAGAGCCTGGTCAGACTATAAAGATGAGCTATCTGGCCTGGCTCTTTAATGATGGCAAAGGCTAATCACTTTTAGATCCATGAACTTAAGTGTTATAAATATCAATACTATCTTACCAGTGAGTTTTCCGGACTTTATTTATAGAAGCTGCTGTAGCTACATCCTTTAATGTTTCCTTTGTCTTCTTCTCTGCTGATTTAAATGCCTGTAAAATAACACTGCAGTTTCATTTGTATGATAACCTTATATTCTTTTTTTTGGGGTTGAGTTTTACCTCATACCAACAATATAAGTCATTTGGTGACTTTCCAGTGTTACTGGTGGAGGAAGACCAGAGGTACCCCTATATACATTACTTCATCATTAAGCTTAGCTTGATAGCTTTCTCACATGGAGAATCAGACAATGCTTGCACAGCTTGACCAAACAGTGATGAGAAGCAAGCGATTTCAAGTCAATGACCTTAACCACACAGCCACAGACAAACCATACCTTTTTTTTTTCAATAAATTTTAGCATTCTCAGAAACAAACAACACTCTATCTCCCAATATTCAAATTGGTGATTGCAAATTGGACGAAAAAAACTCAATGGTTACAATTTCATGCAAATTGACAGACTGGCTATTCAACAGCTATACTGGGGTAACACATTGTCACTGGTTGACCTGGTTTTCACTATAGAACATATGTATGTAATACTGTTTATGAGCAATTAAACTAGTAATGAAAAGAAAAGGAAGGGCTAAATTTTTTCAGTGCTAAAACTGGTACAAGTAGTTACAGTTCTGATTCTATTTATTTACTAAAAAGGCAGTAAACTTAGATAATAAGGATTAAGATTGTCAAATTTAACTAAATTTCAAAGATCTTTGTACATTTGCATACAGAAAGACATCAGTCACAAGAGTTTCATTATTAACAGATTGGCAATCCATATCATCTGTTAAAATGCTGTTAAAATCAATTGTATTTAAAGCCTGTAGATAAAAATATTCTCCTTGACCACTGAATAAAATCAGTTAATTTTAGTTAGCATATCTTTTGCCTCAGATAGAAATTTTACCCTGAAATTTATCATTAATGAAAATACAACTTTATAAAATAAAGTCAATTTATACTTTTTGTGAGGCATCAACAGTTTTCTGTTCCTTCACAGCTGCTTGCTTCTTCTTCTCAAAATATCTGTAAATATATCACATTTATTTAAATAATTTAACAAATTTGCTGAGCAGAAAGGAAAAGAATTCATGCACAAATTTCCAAAACCATGCCAAGGTCATTCTTAAACAATGACATATAGATAATTCCTGACCAATGACATACAGATCATTCTGTAACAATGACAAGCAAGCATAATCAAAATAATTTGTTCAACTTAAACCTTACCATGCTGGAAGCGAGAGTTAGACTTTACCACCAGTATAGAGCCAGGCCAGCCTTAAATCCATGCAGTCTGACCAGGCTACATACTGTTGGCTAACTTCAAATTTTCATCTTGATTTCCCCATAATTGATAATGAGATAGTTCCATGAGAGCTGGACAAGTTCATTTTAAGAAATTTAGCAGGTTAAGGGTTTGAATTGTGTTTGAATCTGAAGATTTTCTAAATTTTTTCCTATCAACTAACTTTGTAGCTTTCATTGACTTGTCAAACAACAGATTCTTGTGTGTATTTAGCTTAAACCCAGCTTTTTAATGAATGGCTAGCCTCTTTTACTGTCCTTAAAAACTATATCAATAAAATAATGACATAACATCACCTTTGTGCAGTAATGGTTTAACTTAATATATAATTTATAAGGATTTAAACCGTTACTGCACTAAGGTGATGATATATACTAACACTTTTCGGTATATACATGAACAATACATGACTCAATGGACCCATACATCAAGAAAACACAAATTATCATTTTAATCCAAAATATTTCATAGATTTTATTTCAAGGTTGTTCATTATGTTTTTTCAATATTAGCTCAGATAATTTTTAGACATCAAAGCCAAAATTGAACTTGTGGTTTATTACAGTGAAAACACCATTTGAAAGGCAAAGATTTTGGTTGCTTCTGAGATTAGTTGGAGGTTTAATTTATTGGGAGGTGTAACTTTGGAAACAAGAATTTGTAACAGAGTTACCAACGTCCCCCGCCTCGGGGAAGTTTTATATGAAGCATAAAATTGTGCTATTTTAAAAGATTGAGGTATGGATCAAAGGACTTTCAGTCCAAAATTATGATCAATACTAGATCTGCAAATGCAACAATAAAATTATTAAAGAAATAAAACGAATGTTAAGCTTTGACCTCTTAGTGTGACCTTGACCTTGGAGGTAGGGGTCCAGGTGTTGTGCAAGACATATCCTCTTATTATTGTAACTATTTGTACCAAGTATTTTCAAAATTCTTTGACCTATGAAGAAGTTATAGATGGGACACAAAATATACCCTCTAAAAGACTATGTTAATCTTTGACCTCTACATGTGACCTTGACCTTGGAGGTAGGGAGACTGGTGTTACACATGACATATTATCTTATCATTGTGACTATTTGTGCCAAGTATTTTCAAAATCCCTTGATCTATGAAGAAGTTATGGAAGGGACACAAAATATACCATATAACAGACTCTGTTTACTTTTGACCTCTAAGTTTGACCTTGACCTTGGAGGTAGGGGTGCAGGTGTTGTATTTGACATATCGTCTTATTATTGTGACTATTTGTGCCATGTTATTTCAAAATCCCTTGAATTATGAAGAAGTTCTAGATCAGACACAATATATACCCTTTAACAGACTATGTTAATTTTTGACCATGAAATGTGACCTTGACCTTGGAGGTAGGGATGCAGGGGTAGCACATGACACATTGTCTTAGTAAAGTGACTATTTGTGCCAAGTATTTTCAAAATCCTTTGATATATGAAAAAGTTATGGACCAGACACAAAATATACCCTGTAACAGACTATGTTAATCTTTGACCTCCAAGTGTAACCTTGACCTTGGAGGTAGGTGACTGATTGTTGCGCATGACACATCATCTCATTATTGTGAACAATTGTGGCAAGTATTTACAAAATCCCTTCAAAGATAAGAAAGTTATAGACCCGACATGGCATATACCCTCAAAGAGAAAATGTTGACCTTGACTGGCAAGTGCGACCTTGACCCTAGAGTAAGGGGTCTTATTGTTGCGCATGACACATCATCTTATTATAACAAACATTTGAGCCAAGTTATTTCAAATTCCTTTGATAAATGACAAAGTTATGGACCGGACACAAAAAATACCCTGTAACAGACTATGTTAATCTTTGACCTCCAAGTGTGACCTTGACCTTGGAGGTAGGTGACTGGTTGTTGCTCATGACACATCTACTCATTATTGTGAGCAATTGTGGCAAGTATTTACAAAATCCTTTCAAAGATAAAAAAGTTATGGACCGACACGACATATACCCTCAAATAGACAATGTTGACCTTGAATGAGCAAGTGCAACCTTGACCCTGGAGGTAGGGATCTGGTTTTGCGCATGACACATCGTCTTATTATAACAAACATTTGGGCCAAGTTATTTCAGATTCCTTTCATAAATGACAAAGTTATGGACCGGACACGAAAGTGTAACGGACGGACGAAAAGACGGACGGACAAAGCCTATTTCTATATCCCCTTTTTTTCTTCGAAAAGGCGGGGGACAAAAAGGAAGCTGTTGATGCACAGAGGTGATTACCCTACAGAGGGCAAGTAGTTTACAACTTTCTTCCTTTTTTTTGCTTTAACTTTCACAACATACATACTTTCTAGAGTTGGCGTAGGCACTGAGAGCAAGGTCTATATCTATCTTCATCGGTTTAATAGGCTCATCATCATCTTCATCTTCCTCAAAGTCACTGTCCACATACGGGTTCCTGAAATAAATCACACATCAAACTCACTGTCAACATATGGATTCCTGAAATAAAACACACATCAGTCACTTTCCACATAGGGATTCCTGAAATAAACACACATCAGTCACTGTCAACATATGGGTTCCTGAAATAAAACACACATCAAAGTCACAGTCCACATATGGGTTCCTGAAATAAAACACACATCAGTCACTTTCCACATATGGGTTCCTGAAATAAACACACATCAAAGTCACAGTCCACATATGGATTCCTGAAACAAACACACATCAGTCACTTTCCACATATGGATTCCTGAAATAAAACACACATCAAAGTCACTGTCCACATATGGATTCCTGAAATAAAATACACACCAAAGTCACTGTCCACATATGGATTCCTGAAATAACAAACATATCAAAGTCACTGTCCACATACGATGCATATTCTTTGAAAGCTGTTGTAATCTTAAATGATAAGATAATCTTTATCAAGTTCAGCAAATCTCCCATTTTTCATACATATTCCCCTAGACGTGAACTTTATGTCATCAGTGCAAATGAAAAATATCTTTCGATCTGGATAAAACCACCATTTTTAAGTAAAATTTCAAAAGAAGTATTAACTGGATAGCAAATAGTGTAGACAAAGATCAGATGACATTTTTCACATGTGTGGATTCAGTTGCTGCCAGGAGACTAGGAGCTAAAGCATACCACTAAATGGACTCATATGATATATCTGGTAAACTTAAGCATCATAATACATTGTTTAAAGATGATTTTACTTGTGATATGAAAATTGTACATTTCATATAAATAAATATTCATGTAAAAATCTTTAACTAAGACAAAAATTGTATAAAAAAGCTTTTCCTTCAGTTATAATAATCAAGGTTTTCCAAACAAGCTTTTTACGCTGTTTCACATTCTCTGTTTTATGTTTAAATACTAGCTTTACATAACACATCATGGTTCAAAAATTCTTACTGAAGAAGTAGTGTGATATGATTGGTTGCCAGTTTGAGATCTTTTATTGCCATGGCAACAGGGTCCCCGTCCATTTGTGCTTCTTTCACGAGATTATGAATCTCTGTCCAGTCTATCTGGTTAGCTATGGCACTTCTTACAATCAAAATAGCTCGGTCAACCTTTAAATGATTAGACAATGAAAAATATTTTTACTTATTGTACTATAAGGTCAAAATAATTTGTTATTATCTATGTAATATGCCGAAGATCAAACTTAAAAGTCGTTTAAGTACAAGTCTTTCAACTGTTACAATAAGATGCAAATACCAGGTAATGCAAAGTTAGTGGCCATACATAAGCATCAAATATCTATAGCTTCTACGAAAATATTATATTCCTGGAAATATGCTTTAAATAAAGAAAAAAGAAGTTTCTATATGACACTTGATATAAAAAGGGAATGTTATATTTTGGAATTTTCAAAAGAACCTGTGGCTTTCTGAGGTAAAAATATAGGGGGATAAATCATAGAAAATCTTAATCTAACACAGCTAAGACTGTCACATAGCCATACAATTATTTATTTTTTTATTTCATATCAATTTTGAATGTAAGGTACATAGCAGAGGCAAAAGTGACAGCTTTCATTCTTTCAGTCCATTAAATCTATCAACAAGTTGATGTACATCAGCTAGTTCAGAGACAATGTGCATAGTGGCAATTATGGGGAGATATATAGCATTTCTGGGGGAAATTAAAACTGTTTGTGGCAATGGAAAACACTCTTAAGCAGTAGAATAAATCTTAGCTCTTAAAGCAGTAGAATAAATCGCTGGGAAAAATCACTAAAAGGTCACTTACGAGATCTAGGTTAATCTCAATCAGTTGTCCTTTCTTCTTGTCAACGTCCTGTTCTTTCTGTAGACCTTCCACTCTCTTCTCATGATCCTTCTTAATATTGTCCAACTTCTTCAATGCTGTCTTCTCCTATAATAATACAATCACAATGTACCTGCTGGACCCAAAAGTGGATAGCCTATGCCAACAGTATAGAGCCAGGCCAGCCTGCACATCCGTGCAGTCTGACCACGCTCTATACTGTTGGCTGATTAACTTTTATTTTTTCATCTCAATATCTCTAAACTTGATAGATGGACAGTTCCAAAATTGGAACCTGGACAAATTCATTTACAAAATTCAGCAAGTCAAGGGTAAATATGCATATTTTTCTTTTTTCTATCTATGGTCATATCATACATTTTGTAGCTTACTTAAGCAGTCAAATTTAGGATATTTTTTGCAATCATGTATTGCATTTGTCATTTAGACATTTTTTTACTGGCACCTTCATAACATTAATATAGCTCTTAAAACTGAGTCAGGTGGAATAGGCAATTCACTATCCTCTGGCATTTAAAATGTCAAGATATGTTACTTCATACAGGAAGTTTGTGCAGTCTTATAATTTATAATTTTATTTACCAAAGTAGAAGTACACTGCATTGAATTTTCATTTTATTATGTCAGGGTTTAGAACTGTTGACTGTTAGATGTGTAATCAGCTGGAGAGCTCAGAAGATAGAGCTACATAGGTAGAGCTGTGGAACTATATTCATAGGGTCCCCGGTTCTAGTCTCGTCAGCCTGCACGTTCTTAGGGGCTAGTGTGGCCTCTACCGAGTGAGCTATCTTCTCAACCTTTGACAATTACTTATTTCAATTTATTAAAACAACTATAAAATACTACATCTTCCAAAATCCCAAATGAGCATTACAAAATAAACCGATCTTTCCAAATCTTCTCATTTGAATCATTAACAGATGTGAGAGGGGTTGGAGGGGTGAGGTGGAGAAAATCTTTAGAATATTGTCTACAGACTCGAACTGAGTTATTATAACAGGCTCTTTCATCATAAATTATGATAACCTACCTGTTGTAAAGTTTTCAGCTCCATTTTCTGACTTTCCATCTTGGAGTAGAACTCGTCTACAGCCTGTTATATAAGAGAAAATCAAAAAGACAATCGTGCAGCTCTTCAAGAGACTAATGTTTTTTTTCCTGGTTGGGTATTAAGTCACATCAACACTGTAAAGGTCATCCTTCAACTTTCAAGACATAAGTGAGAACTTCAAAAGAACTGTAACAATCATCCGGTCAGCTTTGGTTTCTTCCTCACATGATATATGGTAAAGTCCTTGTCAAGATTCAAACCCACAGTTGTGAGTGGCAAGTGGTTTTAAGTCAGAAACAATAACCTCTTGGCCAGGGAGGCACCCGGAAATGACTCAAATCCTCACAAAATAACACTACCCTAAATATAACATTGTTTTTTTCACAGGTGTATTTTGTGATGTACATGTTATCAGATATCTATATATATCAAAATATGCCGTGGCTAACATAATGAAGAAATGTCTTTTAAACTAAAAGTCAATTTTTACATTACCTTATTGAAAGACTCAAATTCTTCAACATGTCTTTTTTCATATTGCTTGAACAGCATAGGGTGAAATTCATCAAAGGTAAGTAACTCTGTGGGCTCCCCTTCCTTAGCATTGGGTCTCTTCTCTGACTTCTGAACAATAAACCCCTGTAAAAGATATTTCTATATGAAGACTACTATTTTAATGTATTAGAAATAAAGATTGAGTATTTCAAACAATCGAACTGTTTCAATTCTTTTATTAAACTAAATCAAAAGGACTACAGGACAGAAAAAGCATCTTATAACTTTCAAAAATAAACAGAAATAAAACAGATGGATATTTTTTAGCCATTTCATCCCAAATGAATCCATGTAATAATTGTCTACAAAATAGAGCACTATAACTAACAGTATTTAAAAGAAAGAGTACAGCTTTTGGTATAAACACTCGTCTGTTTAAATTGCAAGTTTAAAGTTAAAAAGGGGCAAAACCCCAAAATAATTGTTTTCAGAATTTTACCCAGGGCTTGTCTTACAACTGTACCTTGTCATGATAAGCAAGTATTTAAAATTTTGTGTACATAACTTTCAAAATGTTTGAATAATAGGCTACATTTAAGTATTTGGACTACTACAACAACAACACAGCACTCATAATATCACGACTATTTCTTCAAATCAGATGAGCTAAAACAATTGTTTCTTTTCCCTATCTTTATTTTACACACCTTTGAATTTTGTGTCTGCATTAAGGTCAACAGACCTTCTGCTTCTTCTATAGCAACCAGCAACTTCTGCATGTCTGTAATAGAATTAATATATTTTATTCAAGTAAATTTATACACAGATAATAATCTTGTACTGTATTTTAGACCTGCAATAAAACAAGAGCTGTCGGTAGGACAGCAACGCTCGACTATTCTTAGTGCTTGATAGTAAAAAAAAATGCTTGATACAGTTACCTCCTCCTGTTTACAGGTTGGGGTAATGATGGTGAACAAGTGTGCAAAGTTTCAAAGCCATATGTCAATGGACTTTGAAAATATTTGAACTATTACAAAAACTTTAACATAAATTCTAAGTCGAAAAAGGGGCATAATTCTGTCAAAATGCTTGATAGAGTTACCTCCTCCTGTCTACAGGTTGGGGTCATGATGGTGAACAAGTGTGCAAAGTTTCAAAGCCATATGTCAATGGACTTTGAAAATATTTGAACTATTACAAAAACTTTAACATAAGTGGTTACGCCGACGCAGACGCTCTGCAATAGCTCTACTTATTCTTATCGAATAGTCGAGCTAAAAAAAGACATACCATGCAGTTGATGTGTTTTATTGGCACACTGGCATCATCTAATGGCACATAGTTCTTCACCCTATTGGGCTTCATAGACATTTTGACATCGTTTACATCATTAAGGTCACAGTGACTGTTTCTGTTGGCAAAGACACAAGTTGCCCTATAATTTCAGGCACAAGTCAGAACTTTGTGGTTGCAAGTTAAAAAAAAACAGTAAACCCTGAATAAAGTATTATTTCAATTTGGTCTTGTACAGAAAAAGAGAGCATTCAGGAGAAGAAATAACCTTAACTTCAGGCAAATGCCTGAAAACTTGTACCTATGGAACTTACCTAAATTCTACTGACTTTCCATAGAATTGCTGGAAGATTTTCTCATACCAAAGAATTCAGTGAACTAAATTGAATTCCAACCCTTAATGATGATAGTAAGAGATCCAATGTTGCTCTCTGGAGGTCAGACACTGAGGATCAGTGGGAGGTTACTGATAACAGTCATGTCAGGGTTTTGAGTAATTATATCATGATAGTTTCAGATTATTATTATAATTTTCTCATTTTTTACAAATGCACATAAGATCCTAAATTATTGGTAGGCCTTGCAAAATGTAAATCTATTTCTTTAGTTCATTCTTGGACAAGTCTTTTTTTGGTTGGGTTTAACTTCACATCAACACCTTATTATATAGGCCACCAAACGGCAACTTTCCCGCTTTACAGGTGGTAAAAGCCCTCAGGTACCCCTATGTGCTTTGTTTCAGGCACAAACAGGCACCTGACAAGAACAACCAACATTCCATAAGTTATCTGGCAAGCTTTCTCACATGAAAGAATCTGAAGACCCTAGCACAGATCAAACCTACAGCATTAAGAGGCAAGTAGTTTGAAGTCAACAACCTGAACTACTCAGCCACGGATGCCCACTTAGACAAGTCTTATCAAAATTAAAATAACTACATAATTTCCACATTTTATATAAAATCTATTAAAAACCATATGAGTATTAAAGTCTCACCTTTAGTAACATCAAATCCTTTGCCAATTTTAACATTTTCTTGAAAGCCAGCCGTTATCAGACAATGCTCAATCATGGCCGGACCATAATCTACACAAAGTAAAAATACAAGTCTCTGAATGAATAAAATTTACAGAAAAGAATATATAAGTCCCAAAAAGAAAATTATATAATCTTAGATAAGTAACCCATGATAATAACAAAGAAGGTTCTATGTCTACTGTGATAACATTTACGTAAGTCTGCAGGGCTCCAGATAAGATGCGTATACGCGTAAATTACGCATGGAAATAACACGTTTACGCATTCAAAACAAAATTTAAGCGTATGAAAACGCACACAAAATTCAGGTTACGCATTGAGCAACATTTCTTTTGCGTAAACGTAACCAAAAGTAAACTCGGTGATTATTTCGTCTGAACGCTTTGCATGCGTCTACCGGTAACTTCCCGTAGTTCAGACCATCATCGGTGGTTATCGTATGTATAGTATGGTGGTGGAATTAACTTCGTAACTATGAATGCTTTGCAATGTCTAACGGTAACTTCCTGTAGTTTCGACTATCATCGGTTATTATCTTATGTATAGTATGGTGGTGGAATTAACACAATTTCATAAACATCCGGTACAATGTCGCTGTCAAATTGACTCGTATTTTAAGCCGAAAAAAAAAATCGACCGGAAAGTAATTGTGAAGGTTATAATTAATGAAATAGTTAGCGTTGCCACGTATGAGCAACAAAAACATTCCTCAGGTTCAGATAAAACATATGCTGTTTGGAAATGCAAGATTATAAGAAATGACTTTGACATATCTTTTATTACAAGTATAATATTACAATAAACATGGAAGCATATTAAATGTTTTACTCTTTTACAAACATTTTAAGGAGTAAAAATACTCCTGCCAAATTTCAGATTTCAAGTTTGTTGCTGGGTCGGGTGGGGGCTGCGTTCATTGAATGCCGCCTTTCCTTGTCGATCTTGTTTATCATATTTTTTACTTGTTCACAAAAAAATCAATGAGTAAATACTCAATGCCCTAAAAAATTATCTGGAGCCCTGAGTCTGCTCAATAAAGGGCGTATCTCAATGAAATCAGATTACATTGTCTCACACTAAAACCACTAAATACTTCACAATTTTATCTAAAATGCACTGAAACCACTTTAATCCTTTACATTTATATCTAAAACAGTCATTAAATCTAAATACATAGCCTCACTTACCTAAATGTGGGATCAATAATTTCTTCAAAGGATCACCAACTTTTCCTGCCAAGATTATCTCCCTTAGTCTAGAAAATAAAATTTAACAATACCTGTATAATACCATAAACATTTCATGCTTTGTTTTCAAAAGAGCAAATTAAGACACTTCACATTCATAACCAGAAAAGCGTGAATTTAACAAAACATTAATTCTGAACCTGCTAGAACTGAGAGCCACCAGTGTATACCTAGGCCAGTCTGGACATAAGTCTTTTTGACCAAGCTCTTTACCATTGGTAGCTTCAATTTTTGTATTTTGATATTGAAATCCCATAATTTTCAAATGTACTATTCCAAATTCAAAGCAGGGAAAAGGCTAATGAAATTCACACTAATAAATAATAATTAATTCCACCTACTTTTCTTCTGTAGGAAGTTCATGCTGTTTGGCGCCCTCTAGTGGATATGTTTCTCTCACAGCAAACCTTACATCTTGACTCTGGTCAGTACGAGGACGGAGAATGTTCAGGATGGTATATTCATAGTCTGTTAACACTATGTTACCCTGGTAAAAACATAAATGTTTATTATTTCCCCTATACTTTGATAATATTTGAAATTCTTTGCTTTTTTTTATCATTTTTACCTTATCATCTATTTCATTATGCGCATTTAGATTCGATAAGCGAGAACGTGTAACTAATGAAAGAAGCGGAAATGGTGAAAAAGAATTAAAATCAAAGTATGGTCATGACGAACTGAAAATTGAATGGTCAGCTCTAAATCCTTTCTTTCCTTATAATCAGTTACTGACTAAAAACATAATCTATTAAGGAAGCCCTCTATTTTTCTTTTTTTCAAAAATACACATCAAAGTAACCCCTTAATATGCAAAATCTGTGCCCACTTACCCTGTCATACAACTCCAGTATGACGTGATATGCAGCCTCTCCTGAGCCAAAGGTCAGGTCAACTATTCTATCTACACCAAGCTGCTCAACACTTTCTAGACGACGACCTTTCAAGTGCTTTCTCATCTGAAATATAGGTCAAGGTCAAAACAAAGGTCAAAAGGAGTTATAAATTATACAATATCCAGAAAGTAAAGTTTTAAGTGGAAATTTTAGTGGCAACTGGATACTAAGGAAGCAAAACATCATTTAAAAGTTTGTCAACAGCACGTCTTTAAACTGTTAAGAAAAGAAAAATAAGATAGTGAAAATAATAATGTTTGATAAAAAAACATTTGGCTTCTGCGCCATATTAAAAATCTGATAATTTAATACAATCATTATGATTAATGTATTCAGACGTTCAAACAACTTGATGACTGACATTGACAAAAGAAATAAATAAAACATATTTTTTATCTTCTACACAGTGTCAAAAGATTCATAGTTCGATTTCCAAATTAGAAATATTAACATAAAAGACGTATAACATAAAAGATGTATTTACCAGTACATAAAATATACAATATGGTTTATACCTTCATAGAGAAGCCAGAAGGTGCCGGATTTTTAGGCCACTCAAATTCAGTGCTGTGTAAACGTATACCAGATTCCATCAATATCATTGCCTTATCGTCCGGCCTAAAATACAATGTAAATTAAGACCCGATAGGAGTGCACATATAAAGTAAACCATAATAACGGTTAACCTTGCCAATATTTAATAATATTTATTAATCGATTTCAGGTTTGGTTTTAGACCAAAGTTATTTTGAATGAATGACAAGTCACTTGTTTTGTTATTTCTGAGTAAAGTCGGAACTAGTAATGAATAGGTACATGTAGTAAGGTTGTTTGATAATTAACTTTCATGTATTACTTAAGTTATATTGAATTCTTCATATTAAAAAACTGAAATACGGGAATTTTACATACTTTCCAAGCCGAATGAGGTAGGTTTTGTTGTCAACATCATACACGTTCATCACACGCATACTCACAAACCTGAAAATTTAAAGTAAGATAAACCAATTAATAATAATCATATCTACACTAGGGGAAAAAAATAATCTTGCAACCAAGTCTCGTTACTGTCTTTCTGACCATTTTTTTTGTCATCTGTACTATGAAATGTGTCCATTATGTAGTCCAGCAACAGATTAATATGTTACATGTGGCAACCTGCTTTTGTATTGTTTTAGAGAATTTTCATAATTTATAGACATTTAAATAATTTATCATAATAATCGATTTTTTAAATGGGAAAAGTGTAACAATTATTGAATGACAGAAAAATATCAACGATACATCAATATTGTCTCTATCTATGACAGCTTTACATCTACTAGACTAGTATAATATCGGTTGGTCCTGCGGTCAAAATATTGAGAACCTACCCACTAGTCCAATATAGCAGACGTTACTGGCTTGTTATAGTTTATGATGGTGTTTTGCCACATTTAAGTAAAAATATCTCAAAGCAATGTCATATTTATAGGACTACAGTGAGTATCCTGGTTGTACTATCTACCGGGAGTGTAAGCCTTATTAGGCCCACCATCATATAATACAAAAAAAATCTTATATAAAATAGTTATTTTCTGTAGGAGGTACCATTTTTTGATGAAAATAACAATCATCCAAAAGAAATTTTAACTATACATCAAAAAGATAGTTCTGTTAATAACCTCATATGAGTGGCAACCACTTTTGTTTTTAAGTACTTAATACCAGGAATGACTTTTAAGCAATCAATAAAAAGTTAAAAACATATGAAAATGGTCCATTACTGTTAATGATACTAAAGTTCTATTCAATATTTATCAGTTATCACACAGTAAAAGGGTAATAATTTGATAAGCATTTGCACACACATTCAAAATATCATGATGGGTCCAAAATGTTAGCAATATTACTGGTTTTTATACGTAAAACACATTTATGTGAATAGGGTTATTAAAACTTTGAGTTTTCTTCAAAAAATGCTATTTTTTGTATGAAATTAATGTGAAAAACACTTGCATATAAGTATTGTTTGTAATATCTGGACATTCCCGGTACAAAGTACCTCCCGGTATAAAGTACCTTGAGGATATACCTTATCCGCTAATCCAACTTTACTCACTGTATCTACTAACTACTATGCGTTGAGATATTGTGCTAATTTGTGTATGGGCAATATTTCCCTTATCTAGCTTTGGCACGTCAATATATTTCAAATTTTACTACTGTATTTGACTACCTATTACATACATGTGAACTTTTTTCGATGGTCAAGTGGGAGATTTTACTTTAAAAAGAGGGAGATTTTAGAATTTGCAATAAACAAAGAAGGAAGTTCTGACATTAAAAATAGGGAGATTTCTTTAATATGTGAAAATACCCCTTATTTTAAGAAATATCTTTGAAAATATGACTGCAGAAAGTGGGAGAGTTCATATGTATGCTATTAAATAGGCTAGTCAAAATATATTGATGTGCCAAAGCTTGATTCTGAGATATTTTCGTTCTGTGGCAGAATCTAGCTTTAACGAGAGGTGAGATATTGTCCAGACACGAAAACAGCACAATATCTTGTTGCGCAGTACAAATAGTTGGACTATTAAATAGGCTTTTTGAACCATCAGATCATGTCTAGATCTCTTCTAAGTTTTTTTCTCTATTTACTAAGGACAAAATATACCCTTTATGTTTAAAGAAAAAATCTATGTTAACAATGAATAACTTAAGTATTTCACAACAATAATTCGAGAACTGATGATGTCATGTTGATTTCTTTTATTAAAGGACTTTTCAAGTTTCAGTTTCAACTGAAGTAACTTTGACTAATTTACTGACGATGACAGTTGTTGTAGAAGGAATCATACCTCAATAACTCACGTATCACGGCTGTGATATCTATGGTACTAAATCTCCCCTTCATATTCGAACAAATATGTTTTAAAATAAAGAATAAAAATTATGAAAGAAGTTGTGTACAGTTTTTCACATTTTCGTCATCAGTTTGATAACATTTTGCAACGTGCATACTGATTGGTCCATTTTCAACCATTGAGTTATCTCGTTACATACAATAAAGCTTAGTATTGGGTTTTCTACAAAATATTTTTCACATGTAGATATCTGGCCGGTTAGCTCAGTCGGTTAGAGCGTCGTGCTAATAACGCGAATGTCGTGGGTTCGACCCCCACACTGGCCATTCTTTTTTTCCCGTTATAGATTTTTATATGCTATTCAATTAATTCCCCCAAGGCATGTTAAATAAAAATTTTGGGTTGTTGATGGGGGTTAGCAGAAAATATCAGATCCAGGCGTCTTATCCAGGTAACACCAGAGTATAACAAGTTGTTTTAAAATTTGTTGTACACTACACTTACATCTTCGGACCATTTAAGTCAATTTCCACATTTAATAACAATAATATGATACTAATACACAATTTTCATAAGTATAACTAATACTATGGAGGTATAATGACAGCATTACTCCTAAATGTGATAACTGACTTTAAATATTTTTTTGTTGTAATTGGGACTAGGGGCCGGGGTAGAGATAGCTCAAAGCGTCTTATCCCTGTATGTAGTTATACAGTCTAATCTTGAGTTCTCCCTTTCTACAAGTTTCAAATTAAGGCACACAAAGCATATTGGTCAGAAAAGAATAAATTTTCAAATATTTAGAAAGAGCAAAAATTAGTTTCAAAACATTTTAATAATATTTAAAAGATCATTAAAGTAGCGCTGAATGGAACTCGCTGCCTGTAGCGGCTCGGGTTATATTTCCAAAACAACCGTTTATATAGGGCCATATAATCTGTCAAAATCTTTATAACTAATAATATAAACGGCTGTTTGGAAATATAACCCGAGCCGCTAGGCAAACAGTTATTTATATACGGTCTTATAACCTGTCTGGAATATTTATAACGAATTTATAATAGGCAAACTTGCTTTTTTGAGAAAAAACGTGAGATTTCTTAGAAAATTGACTGGCGGCTCGGGTTATATTTACAAACAATCGTTTATATAGGGACATATATAACCTGTCAAAAATCTTTATATCTTATAATATAAACGTCACGATTATCCAATAAAAATGACGTTACAAACGTGCAGTATTATAATGATTTAAAGGCACGTTATGTCCCGAAATGGTTTTAAAAGCTTTTTATTTTTGATGTACTATTAAAGTTTCTAAAACGTTACTCGTTGGTAAATTATCCGAACCATCCATTTCTACTGTCGTTTTTGGACAATAAGTGCAGTTATAAAGACTTTTGTATTTGAAGTCAAAATACTACATGTACCTTAATTGTTATCATTTTACTACTTTTATGAAAAATAGCTACTTTACTCAGGTGACTCCATAACATAGTCTTAAACTAGTCTAATATTCAAACGTTATAAAGCCTACATTTGACCTTCATAAAGAAGGGAAAATGTATTCGTTCCCGAGGCACATAAAATGGTCAAGGTTTATTTTGACATGTTATAAAAATTTGCACCAGTTATCATTAGATTTGATCTCTATTTTTACGACAAATAACCGCCGGTAAGACAGATCACATTAAAAAGAGTCGAGACTTTATAAGTGACAATCTGGTTTAACCATCTTATAACACAGGTTTTCAAATAAAATGTTTGAAAATGTCTTATCATGGACAGTTTTCTACACATTGTGGAAATTGAGCGTCATTTTACAGAATACTTTGCCCGCAAATTTATATTGGCCAGCGGGCAAACATCTTCTATTAACGGGGCCATGTAATTGAATAAACTGAAATTGTATAAGTAATTTCTACTCCAGCCCGCTATGTGGCATTGTAGGGGATAAAGGAGAAATTAGTTGTCTTTTATTCAAAGTTTGGGCAACTACGGGAAATTTAGCTGGAATAGCACCGTTTGACTGTCCTCGCAGAGCGTAGAGTACCAAACCATATTGAACCCGTATTATAAAAATTAAAATAAACGCTATAACACTGTGGTTTCATAACTGGCTGACATACGGTCATAAATGTGTACTGTCAAAACGACAAAACCAAACCACAAATTAAGCAGTTTCGTAAAGTAATTATTTTGTGCAAACACAAAACCTATGTAAATATTATGCATGTACTTTAGTATGTATGGTGTCTATTTAAAAACTCTTGTCCTAGGATTTCACCTTTATAGTTATAAAACGAATTCCACGGCCCAGTAAACGCCAACCAAGTACAATTATACAATCAAACTACCTTTCAACCTTTTTGGGAGTCTTATATCGCGTTGAAGGATATCAAAACAACTATACCCATTTGAATACTATACGTTATGCTGCGGAGTTTTAGAGGGGTTATCAAACAAACGAATTTGTTACAAACCCTATAGTAGGTAGAGAAACTGATAGCGAACAGCATGGATCCTGATCAGACTGCGCGATAGCGCAGGCTGGTCTGGATCCATGCTGGTCGCAAACGCACTATGTTAAATTGGTTTTGTCGTGACGCGGCTCATATAAAAGTTTATCACACAACCGTGCCGATTTTGCGACTCCGTAAATATGGTATTGCACGGTCGTGCATATATTTTGACGTGACGTCATTAACGTTATACAAACATAGTGTAAAGACGCGCTAAATGTTAGCGTTATACTATAGGCGCGTCAATGAAATATGACTCCTATTTCATCTTAAACGGTCTTTATTTTTGGTATGTGATAAATAGAATATTAAATTCGTGTAAGTTCATTACTGAATTTATTGCACTCGTTGAATAAAATAATATTATGCTCGCCAGAGGCTCGCAAAATATAATTTTATTCAACTCGTGCAATAAATTCAGTATTGAACTTACACTCATTCAATATCCTCTATTTATCAAGTAGAATATAACTTAAGTGTTATAAGGTAAAATACCTAATTCATTTGGCAAATTATAAAGTTTTATGGTTCTTAAGGCACAGTATGCCTCGGACAAAAATAAATTGTTAATTCTTTAGAAAGGCAAACATGAGTTTTATAACGTTTCCATAATTGGTTTTAGAGCATTTTATAGGTGCCTGTATCACCTGTTATAAATAAATGTTCGCTGATGAAAGTTACGAAATGTTAACAAAGATTTACTTTCACTTCAATTCAAAATACTTTATATCATTATATTTACTAAATGCACTAATGGCAACAGGTGCATTGAAAAGATGATTCAAGTTATTGACTATAATTTATAAGTAACCTTTTTGGAACAAAAAAAAAAGCTTTTGAGAAATGAGAATTTAAGTATTTCTGGGGCATATTGATTGGGCCTAATTGTACACACTATAAAGATCATCAAAACATAAAATGGGATAAATATATAACCTTTAAAATATCAAATAAAAATCCTCATTTTTAAACTTTGGAAAAGGTGTCCAAAAATAAACGTTTTGCTCTGTTGAACACTCACTACTCTTAAATGTAAATGTTAACCTGAGTTCAATTGCCAACGGTTTAATAGTAAATATCCACCCTGAAATGAATGCAGTTATTCATTCGTGCCTTTGTAATTAAAGAATACGGACTACAAAATGAAGTTTTATACGGTGATATTTTTCTCGTCTGTTATAATTGTGAATTCACAGGATCCGCGAGTTAGTTCTAAAATAGGCGAAATTGTTGGCAACGAGATTATTTTACCGGTTGATTCGCCCTACAAAACTGTGCATCAATATTCAGGAATTCCTTTTGCGAAGCCACCTGTTGGAGATCTGAGATTTCGCAAGCCGGAACCCGTGACGTCATTAACGTCGCCATTTTATGCCCAGAAGTTCAGCGCAATATGCCCACAGCGTCCAATATTTGAAACAACCTTGAAAGATCCGCAGGATGAGGACTGCTTGTACCTGAACGTGTACGTGCCTGATCGAGAATCGGAGATACCTGATGGACACGCGGTTTTGATATGGGTTTATGGTGGCGGTTTTCAAGAAGGCTCAGCAAACACATATGATTTTTCTCTTATGTCGTTAACTGGAAACATCATTGTTGTCACATTTAATTACAGAGTAGGGGTTTTTGGTTTCCTCAGCACTGGCGATGAGAATGCTAGAGGAAACTATGGTCTTTGGGATCAGCATATGGCTTTTCAGTGGGTCCATGATAACATCGGCGACTTCGGTGGTAACACCGAGAGAGTAACAATTGCAGGGGAATCGGCTGGTGCCATGAGTGTTATTCAGCATGCATTAGTGCCAGCCAATAAAGGACTTTTTCAAAGAGTAATAGCACAAAGTGGAAGTATGTCGATGCCTGCCATGGACCTAGGAAAGGATACTAGCAAAGATGTGCATACATTGGCTGAAGGTGTAGGCTGCAATACGGACAATATTCACGATGTAATAGAATGCTTGAGGGTGACAAAAGTTGACGAAATTCTTGCACAACCAGTTATGTTCAACCCAGTTTTTGATGGAGAATTGATTAAGATCAATACTCGTGATATTACAAAGATTGCAAAAACGAGATCGCTAGAAGAGGTCGAATTTTTCCGCTCTCTTGACATTCTGAGCGGATTTAATGCAAACGAAGGAGTGAGTGTATTACCGTGGATTATGAGTATGCTTCCGAAGGAGATGCAAGTGTCTCAGTTAGAAGACTTTAGCTTTGACCATTTTAGGTGGACAGATGATATTGTACCTGCTGTTTTGACTTTCTCATTTCTTAAGCGTTTTTCAAAGGAAATTTTGCAGCTAGTCGATGCTCAATACAGATCCTGGTCAAGTCCGTACGATCAACATTTACTTCGTTTACAATTCGAGAAATTGGTAGGAGATTTGACTTATGCTATCCCAGCGATTGAAATGGCGCACCTTCACGCGATGTCTTCCTCGAGTTCTGAGAATAACTTCATGTATCATTTCTTACCAAAACCATCCACCCGGGCACTACCCACTCCCAGTTGGATATCGGGCGCAGGTCACGCTGACGAGCTCATGTTCATGGGTGCTTATGGCATGCTAGATGTTGGAGTAGAGAATGCTTGGGAAAATGATCTGATGACGAAA